AGCTGTTCTCAAAAGTATTAGTCTCAGAATATAAATATTTGGTGTGTGGATGCATTCTTACATGGCCGACACTCATGAAAAACGTTGGCACAATTGCATAAAAAATCATGACTTGAGGCCGCACTATAAATACATCAGCGATTCGAACTTTTTCACATCCATGACTTTTACTCCATGAGAGCTGTTCTCAAAAGTATTAGTCTCAGAATATAAGTATTTGGTGTGTGGATGCATTCTTACATGGCCGACACTCATGAAAAACGTTGGCACAATTGCATCAAAAATCATGACTTGAGGCCGCACTATAAATACATCAGCGATTCGAACTTTTTCACATGCATGACTTTTGCTCAATGAGAGCTGTTCTCAAAGGTATTAGTCTCAGAATATAAATATTTGGTGTGTGGATGCATTCTTACATGGCCGACACTCATGAAAAACGTTGGCACAATTGCATCAAAAATCATGACTTGAGGCCGCACTATAAATACATCAGCGATTCGAACTTTTTCACATCCATGACTTTTACTCCATGAGAGCTGTTCTCAAAAGTATTAGTCTCAGAATATAAATATTTGGTGTGTGGAAGCATTCTTACATGGCCGACACTCATGAAAAACGTTGGCACAATTGCATCAAAAATCATGACTTGAGGCCGCACTATAAATACATCAGCGATTCGAACTTTTTCACATGCATGACTTTTACTCCATGAGAGCTGTTCTCAAAAGTATTAGTCTCAGAATATAAGTATTTGGTGTGTGGATGCATTCTTACATGGCCGACACTCATCAAAAACGTTGGCACAATTGCATCAAAAATCATGACTTGAGGCCGCACTATAAATACATCAGCGATTCGAACTTTTTCACATCCATGACTTTTACTCCATGAGAGCTGTTCTCAAAAGTATTAGTCTCAGAATATAAGTATTTGGTGTGTGGATGCATTCTTACATGGCCGACACTCATGAAAAACGTTGGCTCAATTGCATAAAAAATCATGACTTGAGGCCGCACTATAAATACATCAGCGATTCGAACTTTTTCACATGCATGACTTTTACTCCATGAGAGCTGTTCTCAAAAGTATTAGTCTCAGAATATAAATATTTGGTGTGTGGATGCATTCTTACATGGCCGACACTCATGAAAAACGTTGGCACAATTGCATCAAAAATCATGACTTGAGGCCGCACTATAAATACATCAGCGATTCGAACTTTTTCACATGCATGACTTTTACTCCATGAGAGCTGTTCTCAAAAGTATTAGTCTCAGAATATAAATATTTGGTGTGTGGATGCATTCTTACATGGCCGACACTCATGAAAAACGTTGGCACAATTGCATCAAAAATCATGACTTGAGGACGCACTATAAATACATCAGCGATTCGAACTTTTTCACATGCATGACTTTTACTCCATGAGAGCTGTTCTCAAAAGTATTAGTTTCAGAATATCATTATTTGGTGTGTGGATGCATTCTTACATGGCCGACACTCATGAAAAACGTTGGCACAATTGCATCAAAAATCATGACTTGAGGCCGCACTATAAATACATCAGCGATTCGAACTCTTTCACATGCATGACTTTTACTCCATGAGAGCTGTTCTCAAAAGTATTAGTCTCAGAATATAAATATTTGGTGTGTGGATGCATTCTTACATGGCCGACACTCATGAAAAACGTTGGCACAATTGCATCAAAAATCATGACTTGAGGCCGCACTATAAATACATCAGCGATTCGAACTTTTTCACATGCATGACTTTTACTCCATGAAAGCTGTTCTCAAAAGTATTAGTCTCAGAATATAAATATTTGGTGTGTGGATGCATTCTTACATGGCCGACACTCATGAAAAACGTTGGCACAGTTGCATCAAAAATCATGACTTGAGGCCGCACTATAAATACATCAGCGATTCGAACTTTTTCACATGCATGACTTTTACTCCATGAGAGCTGTTCTCAAAAGTATTAGTCTCAGAATATGAATATTTGGTGTGTGGATGCATTCTTACATGGCCGACCTTCATGACAAAAATTGGCACAATTGCATCAAAAATCATGACTTGAGGCCGCACTATAAATACATCAGCGATTCGAACTTTTTCACATGCATGACTTTTACTCCATGAGAGCTGTTCTCAAAAGTATTAGTCTCAGAATATAAATATTTGGTGTGTGGATGCATTCTTACATGGCCGACACTCATGAAAAACATTGGCACAATTGCATCAAAAATCATGACTTGAGGCCGCACTATAAATACATCAGCGATTCGAACTTTTTCACATGAATGACTTTTACTCCATGAGAGCTGTTCTCAAAAGTATTAGTCTCAGAATATAAATATTTGGTGTGTGGATGCATCTTACATGGCCGACACTCATGAAAAACGTTGGCACAATTGCATCAAAAATCATGACTTGAGGCCGCACTATAAATACATCAGCGATTGGAACTTTTTCACATGCATGACTTTTGCTCCATGAGAGCTGTTCTCAAAAGTATTAGTCTCAGAATATAAATATTTGGTGTGTGGATGCATTCTTACATGGCCGACACTCATGAAAAACGTTGGCACAATTGCATCAAAAATCATGACTTGAGGCCGCACTATAAATACATCAGCGATTCGAACTTTTTCACATGCATGACTTTTGCTCAATGAGAGCTGTTCTCAAAGGTATTAGTCTCAGAATATAAATATTTGGTGTGTGGATGCATTCTTACATGGCCGACACTCATGAAAAACGTTGGCACAATTGCATCAAAAATCATGACTTGAGGCCGCACTATAAATACATCAGCGATTCGAACTTTTTCACATCCATGACTTTTACTCCATGAGAGCTGTTCTCAAAAGTATTAGTCTCAGAATATAAATATTTGGTGTGTGGAAGCATTCTTACATGGCCGACACTCATGAAAAACGTTGGCACAATTGCATCAAAAATCATGACTTGAGGCCGCACTATAAATACATCAGCGATTCGAACTTTTTCACATGCATGACTTTTACTCCATGAGAGCTGTTCTCAAAAGTATTAGTCTCAGAATATAAGTATTTGGTGTGTGGATGCATTCTTACATGGCCGACCTTCATGAAAAACGTTGGCACAATTGCATAAAAAATCATGACTTGAGGCCGCACTATAAATACATCAGCGATTCGAACTTTTTCACATGCATGACTTTTGCTCAATGAGAGCTGTTCTCAAAGGTATTAGTCTCAGAATATAAATATTTGGTGTGTGGATGCATTCTTACATGGCCGACACTCATGAAAAACGTTGGCACAATTGCATCAAAAATCATGACTTGAGGCCGCACTATAAATACATCAGTGATTCGAACTTTTTCACATGCATGACTTTTACTCCATGAGAGCTGTTCTCAAAAGTATTAGTCTCAGAATATAAATATTTGGTGTGTGGAAGCATTCTTACATGGCCGACACTCATGAAAAACGTTGGCACAATTGCATCAAAAATCATGACTTGAGGCCGCACTATAAATACATCAGCGATTCGAACTTTTTCACATGCATGACTTTTACTCCATGAGAGCTGTTCTCAAAAGTATTAGTCTCAGAATATAAGTATTTGGTGTGTGGATGCATTCTTACATGGCCGACACTCATGAAAAACGTTGGCACAATTGCATCAAAAATCATGACTTGAGGCCGCACTATAAATACATCAGCGATTCGAACTTTTTCACATGCATGACTTTTACTCCATGAGAGCTGTTCTCAAAAGTATTAGTTTCAGAATATCATTATTTGGTGTGTGGATGCATTCTTACATGGCCGACCTTCATGAAAGACGTTGGCACAATTGCATAAAAAATCATGACTTGAGGCCGCACTATAAATACATCAGCGATTCGAACTCTTTCACATGCATGACTTTTACTCCATGAGAGCTGTTCTCAAAAGTATTAGTCTCAGAATATAAATATTTGGTGTGTGGATGCATTCTTACATGGCCGACACTCATGAAAAACGTTGGCACAATTGCATCAAAAATCACGACTTGAGGCCGCACTATAAATACATCAGCGATTCGAACTTTTTCACATGCATGACTTTTACTCCATGAAAGCTGTTCTCAAAAGTATTAGTCTGAGAATATAAATATTTGGTGTGTGGATGCATTCTTACATGGCCGACACTCATGAAAAACGTTGGCACAGTTGCATCAAAAATCATGACTTGAGGCCGCACTATAAATACATCAGCGATTCGAACTTTTTCACATGCATGACTTTTACTCCATGAGAGCTGTTCTCAAAAGTATTAGTCTCAGAATATGAATATTTGGTGTGTGGATGCATTCTTACATGGCCGACCTTCATGACAAAAATTGGCACAATTGCATCAAAAATCATGAGTTGAGGCCGCACTATAAATACATCAGCGATTCGAACTTTTTCACATGCATGACTTTTACTCCATGAGAGCTGTTCTCAAAAGTATTAGTCTCAGAATATAAATATTTGGTGTGTGGATGCATTCTTACATGGCCGACACTCATGAAAAACGTTGGCACAATTGCATCAAAAATCATGACTTGAGGTCGCACTATAAATACATCAGCGATTCGAACTTTTTCACACGCATGACTTTTACTCCATGAGAGCTGTTCTTAAAAATATTAGTCTCAGAATATAAATATTTGGTGTGTGGATGCATTCTTACATGGCCGACACTCATGAAAAACGTTGGCACAATTGCATCAAAAATCATGACCTGAGGCCGAACTAGAAATACATCAGCGATTCGAACTTTTCCACATGCATGACTTTTACGCCATGAGAGCTATTCTCAAAAGTATTAGTCTGACAGATATCAAATATATATGTGTGTTTTGGATATGTTACTTGGAAACAAAAAGCTAACGGTTTAAAATCTTGGATTAAAAGTTGTATTTCATTAAAATTCTTCTTAAGACCTCTGCAGTTCCATTGTATAATGTGTTGTGGATTCATGGTGGTGGTGCTTCCACAGGAGAAATGTCATGCGAACGTGAGGAAGCTTTTGTGGTACTCCTATCGGGTTCATGTGGAGATGGAGTTACCTCCATGTCCAGAGGACCAAAGGAGTTGTGGACCCCTACTGGGACCTCTACAGGAGAGTTGGCCTTTGGTGTTTGCAGCTGCTCATGTTGCTCCTTCTTTTTCAATAATTTCTTTTCCCTGTTTGTGAGTTTGACAATTTCTGGTTCTGGCTCTGTTACTGGTTTTGGAGTCTGCGACTCAACATTGTTGAAGGTTTTTTGTTTGGGGGTTGTCGACGTCACAGCTGGTTTTCTGAGTGAAGCAGTTGGAATTGGCTGCACAGACTTGACCCATATCAGGTCAGTCTGGCAGTCGATAGAGGCAGTGGTGACAGGAGGACGAGAGACAGCAGCAGAGTAAGAGATAGAAAACGTGGTTGCAGTAGAACCTACAACCCTCTTCTTAGCTTCAGAGTTGGAGAGGTTTTGTTCGGTCTTGATTTTCATGATCTGTAATTCATGTTGCCAGACAGGGCAGGATTTGGAAGATGCCATATGGTTCCCACCACAGTTTGAACACTTCACATCATTCCTGCAGTCAGTGGTCTCGTGTTTGTCACCGCAGCGGTAACAGACAGCAGAGGCACGGCAGGACTTGGATCCATGTCCAAACGCTTGGCAGGTGTAGCACCGGAGTGGATTGGGGATATACACCTCCACTCCGATGTTACAATAACCGGCTTTGATCGATTGTGGAATCTTCGAACGGGCGAAAGTGAAGAGATAGGTGTTGGTATCTACAACCATACCATCCTTTTTTACCGTAAATCGTTTAACAGCTGTGACAGACTGTTGGACAAGTTCTTTGACAGTTTCATCCTCGGTCATGCCGGACATACAGCGAGCCCTGTCACGGACAATTCCCTTTGCATGAGTTCAGTGTCCTGTGTTCAGAGACAGCAACCTTGATATTTACAAACTCTTTCAAACCGAGAAGATTGTTGGATTTGATGTCTCTGTGCACATTCCACAAGGAGAGAACCGGATCGAAGCTTGGTGACATTTGTAACCTTTCCGCAGGCACCAGCAATACCTTTGGAGATTGCAAACGGATTTAGTTTTATTGGTTCTTTGTCACAAGCTTCGATAAACAAAAAACGTGGCAAATAGTCAGATCGGTTGGTGGTATTTTCGTCAGGTGAATTGTCAGATTCAATGTATCTACGTTTTGAACCAGGGTGTTGGGAAGCCATGTCGAAAGGAAAATGATTCGGCACCCCTTTTCCCCACCCACCATGGCGTGTCTATGAGGACAGTCTTATGCTGCAGCGGTTTTCCAAGCCGCAAAGACCGGGATGGTATACTCCAGCAAATTGGAGAAATACAGAATTCGGAGGTCAGCATCACCAGATTGGCCCATGAGCCACCGCCTTCTGGGCATAGGGGTCTAAGCAAGTTTTATAGATTGTTAGATAGGAATATACATTAAGGTTAAATTTATTTTTAAATATCAAAAGTGTTCGTTAAATATATTTTATGCACAGGGCATGACATGACCACTGGGGCCGATTGATAGAATCGGGCCCATTCTACCGCCCCTACCGGTCGAAGTGGTGTGTTGGACTAAGGAGCACTATTGAAGGCTTCGTCGCCCTCAACCACCAGAATCCCTTCCTCACCCGACACAGGGTCGCAGCCCACGGCAAACAGGCTGCCCAATTCGGTTGCCTTTAACGACCAACAATGGGGTGCTGAGGACCCATTCTTGTTTATCTTCCGGGGTCCCCACGGCCATAAGAGCTTATCTAACAAGTATCCGTCTCAGAAAAAACTACTTGGTGTGTGGATGCAGTTTTACATGGCCGACACTCTTGAAAAATATTGGCGCAATTCCATCAAAAATCATGACTTCAGGCCAAGAACCAGCAGCACTGAAAATACATCAGCGATCCGAACTTATTCACATGCATGACTTTTACGCCATGGGAGCTATCCTCAAAAGTATCTGTCATTTTTCGCGATTACATTTTGGATGTATCTGAACATCAAACAGACAATTTTGTTCCATTTCTGTAACAACTTCGTTCATAAAAAGAATGAAACAAACAAGAGACTAAGCATACACCCTTCCCTCACTTCCATGAATCTCTGTTGTTTGAACGAACACAAGCTTTTACATAACTGTAGACTTATTGTAATATTTTACCCATTTTATTAGCACTTAAACCATGTTTGTACAATAGTCCATAAATGATGGCGCTGAATGGAGTTGAATGCTTCAGAGAAATTAATAAATGCTACATAAAATTAACTCCCTTTCGTGAAAGATAACGCTGAATGACAAATTTAAAACAAACAGCGATCAATAGCTGCCATTAACTCAATGTATAAATTTTCGTAAATATAAAGACAAAGTGTCTCTTCGGCAATATCTTGCTGCAAGAAATAAGTATAAAGCTGTATGTAGGAATGCTGAAAGTCCTTTGAGATTAAAAGTCAATCTGAATTGAGAGATTCAATGAAGGATTCCAAAACATTTTGGTACAAAGTTCAAGCTTTATCAGGTACTAGTAAGGATAAATATAATATAAATTCAGAGACTTGGTACGGGTATTTTAAAGACCTGTTCAGTATTGCAGAGCCAGACATATCTACTATTTATGAAGAAGGAACACACACCTTGAATACTGAACGTGTACTAACGGATGAATATACTGGTACTTATTTGGTTAAGTCTGTCACAATACATGTATATATTTAATGCCCCTACCAGCAGTGAGGAAATACAAGAGAATATTCGTAAGTTGAAATGCAATAAAGCAGCTGGAACAGATTATGTAATCGGTGAAATGTTTCAATGTTCAGATAATATCCTTGTTCCATATTTACTTGTATTGTTCAATTCTCTATATGATAAAGGTGTTTTTCCTTCGGAATGGTCAAGCATTATCATTTTTCCATTTCATAAAAAGGGTTATAAGGATAATGTTGATAACTATCGGGGAATATCTGTACTGAGTTGTTTTGGAAAATTATATACCATGATTCTTAATGGCAGATTAACGTTTTGGTCAGATGCAATGGGAAACATTTATCAAGAACTGGCAGGATTTAGAGCTGTATATTCCACAATTGACAATATTTCATTTTACAAGCTTTAATTACAAATATCTCTTAAAAGGGGAGGTAAATTATATGCATGTTTTGTTGATTTCGCTTAGGCATTTAATTCCGTTCAAAGAAAAAACTCTGGCACTTATTTGGTAAACATGGGTGGGCATCAAAGATGGAAAAAACCCATTAAAAGCCATTTACGAATCAGTCAAAGCTTGTGTACGAACCAATGGCAATAACCTTACAAGTATGTTTAATTGCCCTTTGGGAGTTGTGTATTAAGCCCATTCTTGTTTCTCTTTCTTTATAAATGAACTTGTTTTTTAAATTAACTCATAAACTAAAAATGGCATCAAGTTATATCCAGATTTAATAGAAATATTCCTTTTACTTTTTGCTGACGATGTTGTCTTTTTTCTGATTCGGTAATTGGTCTTCAACGTCAAATCAATATTTTGGAAACCTTTTTTTTACAAGTGGTCACTGTCCGTCAATCTAAATAAAACTAAAGTTCTTGCTTTTAAACGCGGTGGGAAATTATCATAATTAGACAAATGGATATGCAAAGATGCACAGATAGAGGTCGTTTCATCTTATACTTACCTTGGAATATTGTTTACTAGGACTTTGAGTTGGAATAAATATCTAGAATCTACATCTGTTAAAGCTAAGAAAGTGTTGATGTCAATCCTACAAAGCTTGTTAAAACATGATGATCTGCCCTGTAATGTATACTTTCCTATTTTTTTTATTAAACGATAAAGCCGTTTATACTTTATGGATCAGAAATATAGGGTTATAGAAAATATGAGTGTATAGAAAAAGTTCATCTTTATACGTGTAAACGTGTAATTGGGGCTCGGTCCTCCACCCCAAATGGTATTGTACTTGGGGAATGTGGCAGATATCCATTGTATATATTTTCGCTTAAGCGCTGTATAAATTATTGGTTAAAACTAACGACTCTTCCATCCACGCGATGCCCAGTAAAAGCCTATAACATGCTGTTCTATCTCTTTCAAAATGCCAGTCACTCACGCAATAAAAATAATGGGCAACAAATATCAAAATCACCCTTTTCAGTTTAGGCCTTGGATACGCATGGATGGATCAGGGTGTTGGAAATGTCAAGATGTTTATGTCATTTTTACTCCAAAGAGTTGTAGATTGCTTTCAGCAAAAGTGGATATTAAAAACTAAGAAATAGCAAATGTACATATACCTATTCTCTCTTCAAAATGCAATTTATACTCTAAGAATATCTTATATCTGTTTCAATGAAAAGTATCGCTAGCGCAGTTCAGAGCAGGTTATTATTATTAAAAGATCTATAAAGGTATATTAAAAAAGTCTAACAATATCTGTACATTTTGTAACCTTAATGTTGTGGAAAATGAGTATCAGTTTATGCTTGTGTGTAAACTCTATCTTCAATTAAGAAACAAGTATATTCCAAAGAAGTTTACATCTTATCCAAATATCAATTTGTTTTGCATACTCGTGTCAACCTCAAATATTACTTTATTACAAAATATTGCATTGTACATTCATCATGCATTGTTAGTTACAAGAAACACGCATACCTTGTAAATACGTTGAACTATGGGCCTATGGCCTTTCAATTTGCAACGAATAAACAATTGGAACACATTCGGACACATAATTATAATAATAATAATATATGCATTTGTATAGCGCAGCATTCACTGTGCATAAGTGCTCAGTGCGCTACAATGAAACTTATAGTCAGTGAGAGTATTTTTTTAACAGGTGGGTCTTGGTGGGTTTTTTGAAGCAGGAGAGTGACTAGGAAATCTTTAATACTATATCTTACCAGTGAATATTTTATTAAAACCACTATTCCTCCCGAATACCTCCCGAACTGGGACACATTTGTGGCTGAATAATAAAATGTCACTAAACTTTTCTTTACCATGTTTCACATAGAGAAACAATGTCATGCTGCGATACAAAAGAAACAAAGTCATTATTTTGTTATGTTTATTTTGTTTGTTGGTTAAACCTTCTCTATTCCAAGCAATGTAAGATATGCTTTTGCCTGTTGACTCACTATAACAGCCCTGGCCACCCCGCTGTTTCCCAGTGGCTGAGTTAACCTTTGACCTTGACCGCAGCACCCGCTCCTGGTCCACAGCTGACGATGTTCCACTTGAGTCGCGATCTGATCAGCTGACGTCTGATGCTCATTATCTTCCAGAGTAGTAGCTGGCATGTCCTCAATTACGAGCCTGCCATTCATGTAATAACCCCTCTTGTTCTCAGATCTGAACAAAGTCAGTTTCTCTGCATCGCCAATGTTGAGTGTACACTAAGCTGTGGCTTATCTTCGAGCGTCGAAATTTTCTTTTCCATTTCGACAAATTTAGCTTTTAAAGGCCGCGATTTTCCAGAAACAGGTTTGGACAATATCCTGTAACACAAGTGGGTCAGATGATCGAGCAGAATTCAAGGTGTCTACTACGATTTGTTTACAAATACTGTTGTTCTCGTTACGTGTCTCCTGTACCCCGTATATGATCAAGTAGTCCCGCCCACTTGCTAATTCCAGCCTAACAACTTCGTCCTTGAGCTTCTCGAATTGCTCGTGCATTACGTTGATTGACTGTCGACTTTTTATGAATGAACTGAATTTTTCGTTCAAGATTGGTTGTTCGATTTGAAACTTTCTCAATATTAGATTGCATTGTCCTCTGTGAACCTGACGGACGCACCCGACATTGAAAGTGTCAAGCGCCTATCGACAAAATCCTGGG